TATCAACATGATTGAATATTTAATGCATTTAACTATACTGTATGTATCAGGCTTTCTGAGCAGTTGCTTTTGGAACACAATAGAGCTCTATGGCATAGAGAAAAAAATCTATAACTATGCAACAAGACGAAAAGAGAATTAAAAAGGACATCAAAGACAAGTTTAAGTTGACAAGTACACTGTACACAGTTTGCTTGCAGTCACCAAGAATAAAACATTTATGAAACATGTTACATTTCAGTGTGATTAAAGTAAAGAGTCTGGAATACACAACCTGATGAAATACATCTGGGAACAGCTGGATTTAATTGCACCATCGCACCAGCGAAAAAAACATCATCCACATCAGTTTCTAGCTTTCCTTTAGGTGAGACATCTCTGTAAACAAGCCCGTGGCTTCCATGCATCAAAAGCTTCTGATTCATTTATAACAAGGCTGAGAAGCCTGGAAGCCAGTACGAATCATTTCTCATCACCAGACTGCAAAGCAACATGACATATGGAGATGAGGAAGCTCAGAGAAGCAGCCACAGCAGAGGGCATGTGTTAGCAATCTAAAGCTTCTGCGTTTGATCTGTTATCAAGTGTTTGTCCGGCCTGTGGCAATATGTGCCTCAGTGTGTCCGCTGTGCATTAAACCTGCATGTGTGATTAACTGTGCACATGCAGTGGCAAGTGAACGGTTGAAAGTAAAAGGAGTATTTCAGTACTGGAGACACACAGCTCAGATTGCGTTACAGGAACATCTCCGAGAATAGACTCTGACTCAGACTCTTGCTACAGTATCCATCTCTCCTTTTTTCTCGGCAGTGATACTCGAATCCATTTCTGCTTCATTGTTCTGAGTTTTATCAACTTTACAAAAAAATCACCTCAAGGTTTGATTAAAAGTACTCGTTTCCAACTAGCTTGCATCCTTTCTCGAAAACGGAGTTGCTCGGCAACTGAGATGGGCCTTGTGATGAGATATTTTGAAGGATTTAGAGATATTTGATTATAATAGGAGAATTATATATATTTATAACTTTAGAATTGTTCTCATGGTTTACTCATAACAAATCACATATTCGTGCTAACTATTTGTGAAGATATCAGTGTGCAAAGTTACCTTCCAGTCTAGGTTCAAAACAACATGGTAGTGTTTTTCTGATATGCAACAAACATAGCATAACATGTGCAGTTCTGATCATTTTCACAAAATGTATGTTTAAATCTATAATTCGGTATGTAGCACTGTTTCATCACTCTCAGCTTAAAAACTGAGAAGTAAAAATCCACTCAAAAGAAAGCTGATGTAAGATGTTGGGCCACTTCGGTGAAGCTATATACTTCTTGCAGTTTTTTAAGGCATATATATGATTCAATTTGCTTATTTGCATTTAGAAGACATGGAACAACATTGACTTCCATTTAGAATTATGTTTCTGGCCTATAAAATACCTGCCATTTTATGCTGGGAAGGTAATGCGAGGTGGGATCATTGGAGCTTTTTCACTGAAAACGCCTGGCTGCTGCTGCTGGAAATGAGGTTGGTGAGTTTGGATCGGAAAACAGATATAATAAGCTACTGTACTCCAAAATGAAGGAACAAGGGAAGCTGTGATTCTTTCAATTAAAAAGGGAACTAGTTTACATCATAGTCCTTCAATCCATTGCCAATATAAGAAGTATTAATTTTTGATACATTAAAATATACTTGCTACATCGATCATCATTACTGTATTCTAGCCCTTACTTTCACACTTTCTTTCTTCATGCCTCAATCCTTTTCTGTCCCTTGATGTGCTTAGTTTTCTTCCTCTCACATTATAATTCCCAGTCCCTCCCTGTGCTCTCTCTCTCTTTCTACACCTTTTTTCCACCCTTCACACTTTCATCCTGGCAGACAGACATGAAGAGATGTGAGCTTTGGGTGTGTTTAAAGTCTGTAGAGCTCGTGCACACTTTGTACCCTCGCAGCCTTGACATTTTTCAGAACATTTCCGAAGACCTTATTTGCATCATGAGGGTGGATATGGTGTCTATTTTGGGTTAACCAAATATACAGAGGAGGAATATATTTCTTTTTGTTTGGCCTTGGCTGAAAGTAATCACAAAATCTCAAGGCTTCAATGCACTCCTGAAATGAAAGAAGTCCTATCAAAATATATAGAATATATGATTAAAAACAAAACCAAGTCACACAAATTAGATCCTTCACATACAACCATGTAAAAGATATTGTTCTCAAGAGGAGCGCACACAAATAAAATGATAGGGTAGGTAAAACGACTACAGATAATATGATGACCACTAGGTGTTGCTGATTACACAATGTCTAATTAGACAAGACAGTCCTCTTGCTACACTGTTTCAATCTAAAGGAATTACCTTAATATCAATCAATATCTCAATACAATATTCAAAGGTCTTCAGACAAAAAAAGGAGTTGAAGGAGAAAATAAAGAAATAAAGAAAAAGAAAAAAGCTTCATTCAACCCATGTGGCTCTTTGTGTTAATGGTATGAATCCAGTGTGCCACTGATGCTAGGATTCTTTATGTTCCAATAAAATAAGGAAAGCAAATGATGGGATGATATGTATGATATGATAATGAATACTCTGCATTGTTAGCTGTAACTCTGTTTCTCATGATGAAAGTCAACAGTATCGTTTCAGGTTTTATGAAAGACTCAGTTCCCCTGTAGTTCATAACAAAACACATAAATAATAGTTCCTAATGCAACACATACATTTTGTTACTTTTAGTGTTTTGTAATAAAAGCTAGTGTAAGTAAAACCACAAATAATGATATTGTAGAAAGGTTATCCAAATTGTTTGTGACTTCGGAGAATGTCGAAAGGCGGACAAATACTGTGCATCCTTTAATGTTAAAAGATGTTCTTATAGCTGCTTACAACCACATGGCGGTGTTATAAACCCTGTATTACCTTTATTGAGTATAAGAGCTTTCTCTGTCTGTTGAAACAATGACAACATAAACGTTGCACTTAAGCTTCAGCGCAATTAACCCTGACTGTTTATTTAAAATGGTAATACACCGTCTGTTCCACCCCCCAAAAAACCCTGGAGATCCATTAAAGCCCCCAATAATCCACACTACTTATTGACAAAAAAGTCCATTATGTTAATGTTGCCTGGCAACAGGACTCCAGACAGTATAGGGAAAAAGGGTCTTGGGTTAATATTGATTCAAACTGATATTGGTTTCAGGAAGTAGCAGCTGGAACACTGTAAGTTTCAAGCTAAAAGCCAGAAGTGTTTTAGACTCAAGGGGAGCAGGGCAGATTGGGGGGGGCTGCAAGGAACATAACGGCACACAGATGATAGAAGTGAAAGGGAACCTTATGGATCAATAAACCCTGCAGCACATTTACAATCCGTCTTGCTCATCTCCACTCAACCTTGCTTTATTCACAGGTTCATTGTCATCGAGCAAACTCTTGTTTTGTGTGCATTTACTGACATGTCTCCATGCTTTAATGTTCAAAAAGCTCTTTATTTTTCTCATACTGCCTGTACTGCATCACCTCTTTTCACCCTCTGTCTGAAACCAGAGCCCAGGCTGCTTTTGTCTAAAATGTGTTGGAGTATTATCCAGTAGAAGTGCGATTGTTACATAGTGATGTCACTATGCTGCAGAAGTAAACAAAGGAGTCCAATGAAGGTGTTTCAGGCAGGCGGGGGGGATTTGAGCCTTTTCAGACCATTGACATGCACAAAAACCTATACAGTATAACACACTACAGGAAAGGGATACCCCAAAAAGCATAACAGGGCCTCTTTAATTTTCCTGGAAGCCTCACTCTGTGGCCTGTTGCTTTAAGTATTTTTTACTTTTCACTGCATAACGATCTTCTTCTCCCCAGCTCTCTGCTTGGTTATCCTCGTAAATTAGTAAATACATTCCCTTTCTCACTACAACCTCTGTTATAAACACAGCAGCTCCACACACTCCCATTGGTTGGAAGTGACATCACATCATCGCAAAGTGTCGAGTCAGACTCACTCTCTCTCTCTGACAGATGATGCCCCCTTGTGGTCGTACAGGAAATAGCAGTCATTTTAAAACTTGGGTTTTAAAGTCTACTTATGACCTATTTACATGTTTAACATCTGCAGAGAGACTGAAATACACTGACCCCAGATCGGTGACTTTCACCTTATCCGAGTCATCTGATCCCAGACAGAAGCTGTGTAGAGTAAATTGGCTTATGTTTTGTCTAGCTTACAGACCATTAGAGTGAATTAGACTGCAAGCCTTCCTGATTATTAAACTAACAGGATCATGTTCAGGCTCTAATGGTTACTTACTGCATGTTGTAATCTGCTCTCTGGTGTTCTCAAATGACTACAGACACATCCTGCACCAGCAGAATATGATATACTGATTGAAGTCTGTATTAAGGTTCATTTTATTGTTTTGCTTGTTTCATTATATTTGCAAATGATGGCCATGAATGTGTGATACATTCAACTGTGAATCAAAACTTTGACTGTAAGAGACTTAACAAATATGATATGTGTGACTAGCGCTGCAAATAAAGTAGATGGGTGATGTTTCAGATGAAATGTGTTTATATTGTTGTCAAGAATTAAATTCATTCTCACATCTGAGGAACTAAAACCTTATTTGGGTTATTTGGATAGTAAATCACTAAACAGCTGATTTATTACTGACATACAGTAGTTCCTCATTTATTTTCCACCAAAGGACAAATGAATTGACATATTGCTGCAGCTCCAATTGAAACACTGGGGTTTTCTAGATGTGTCTGTCTTCAGTGTCAGAAGTATTGTAAAGTGGTTAAGTGTACATGGTGAATGTTAAAGGGTATATGAAGAAATTAGTATGTTGTGTGATACAGATACAAATAAAGAAAACATTTAAAAACCCATTATAACAAGGTAAGAAGGCTTAGCAGCATTTGAGTCTTGTGCTTTAGCTAAAGCATCAGAGACTGTTTGGCTCAAGTCAAGTCCTCTATAGTATATAGGGTCATGTTGTATTAGTGATTCCTACCTTGCGGCTGGTGTAGTGGGCGTGTTTGGCCAGCTTGCCGTTGAGTCCCTGGAGGAAAACCTCGTCTGTGACTTTGCCCACATTCATACAGGCCTCGTCCAGCACAGAGAAGATGCCCTTATGCTGCTGCTCCACCAAGTCCACTATGATCTGATTATTGAAGTAATCAATCTGACAACAGAAGACAGGAGAATAAAAGTCACATTGTGTCAAAGTGACAGAAATATACTGCAGGCTGTACACTTTGACAAGGTAATAAAAGAAGCAGTGAAACTAATCTCCTGAAATCTTTGTGACTCGAGAAAGTCAAAGCTTTTTGGAAAGAATAAGACAATAAAGTGGTGAAGGAATGATTCCTAAAACCCAAAAATGAGTTAGCATTTTACCACATCCGGTTATCTTGTCTTGAGGTCAACAGTTCTTTTAACATGTTAGGGTTAAACGCCTGACATAATACATTTGATAAACACAAGCTAAAGAGACTTTCTGTTTTATTCCACAATGTAAAAAACATTAAAACACCGCTCATAAATGTTGGAAGCTTCCTAGAAAACGACAGATGCTAACAAGTGGCCTAATGAGACATAATCATGTCCAACATTAGCCGTCTTTAGCTTAGCGTAAGTGATGCGCAGCCATGGAACCATGATGTAGTTTATAGCCTAACGTTAGCTTTTTAGTCCTGCCGGTTGCAGTTACTCTTAAAAAATCATAAAGTTGGTGTTTAGCTAAACAAAACATGCATCACTGCCACAAATGTTCTGATCTTCTGAAATATTCTTAAAGCTCCCATGTCATGCTTTTCCGGTTATTACCCGTCCCCTTGTGTGTTATGAAGGTTTTTATGCATGTAAACGGTCTGCAGAGTCAAAACCCTCAAAGTACACCCTGTAGCGAGTAAAACTCTAACACAGAAAATACCTCCCCAAAACGCCTCGTTGGAGATACGTCACTGTCCATTTGATTCTTCCGGGTAACTCATGATGTCATGCGTTACCCGGAACCAAATGGACCAATCCGTGGAGCCGTTACGTTAAGCCCCCCCCGCTGATTGGTCCAAATTGACCAATCCACGGACTTCCTCACACACACACTCAGTGCATGCAGCTCTGCTGATCTCTCCTCCCTGGCTGCAGGCTGATAACAGACAGTTGGGATCGCGGCGAAATTCTCTCTGCAGACCCATTCTCACTGCGTTTATCAACCTTTTTCTTACTCAATATCAAGCCACACTTATTGTTTTTACTTCGGCTGTGACTTTGGGTGTGCTCAGGGTGAGTTTGGCTGTGTTTCGCTGTCGCTAAACAAGGAAACCACACCTCCACAGAGCTCAGCGCGATTCACAACGTACCGACCAATCAGAGCACACTGTGCTCACAGGGAGGGTGGGGGCTGGAGCTATTGGAGCTACAACGAGCCGTTAAAGGCAGAGAGTGAAATTCAGTGAATACACGTAGTTTACAGAGATGCTGTATGAGAAACCAATGTGAGTTTGGAAAATTGCACAATATAAATCTATTCTAGTAGACCTCAACAATGGAATTATGATCAGTGGAAATGGCCATGACATGGGACCTTTAAATCCAATAAAAAAATCTCATTGCTTTTTGATGAGGAAGCCCTTGTGAAGCAAATGTCCAGGTCGGCCAACAAAATGTCCCTCCACTCCACCGCTCTGTGTCCTTTAAATATTTGGCATTGGAGAGATGGCATTGGAAATGCAGAATGATGCAAATAAGCATAACAAAAGAAAAACAAAAATCCCCCTTACATGTTTCCATGGGATGTCTTCTCGTTGATACTCTTCCTGTTCCTGCTTTAGCACCAGCTGGATGAACAGTTGCTGCAGCTTTTCATTACAGTAGTTGATGCAGAACTGTTCAAAGCTAAAGAAATAGAGGGGATTGAATGTTATGCATGCAACGGAATATATTTCTAATTATATATGGAGAAATGTGATCTTTGTTGTCTTTGTTACAACCAAGAAAATCTAATAAATACAGACAGAAACGTAACATTCTGTTAGAAAGGATGCAGATGTTTTGATGCTTTTTGTTTTGGTGTAATAGTGTGTCTCATGCTCACCTGTTGTTCTGGAAAATCTCAAACCCGTAGATGTCCAGCACCCCGATGACGGTGTTCTTCCCGTGGACTCTGGCGTCGTAGTTTTTCACCTCGATGATGTCATTGATTCGTCCCACTATCCAGCAGAACAGTCGCTCGTACATGGCCTAAAGACGACAAAATATGAAAACAGGTTCATTAGACTAATTGGCTGGTGAACAAGTGCATTGCTCAAGGGCAGAGAGGATCACAGCACAGATGGGTCATTGAGTGTGTCATAATGTGAGTCAGACTTTTGTTCACAGCCCACAGTGCTGGTTTAGAAACTGCCTACATACATTTCCTCCTCCACAGTCTCCAGCCTCTGTGTGGAGTCACAACATTGTGACTCATGCTTGTGTGAATTAGTGTGAATTGCAGTGAAACTATCGCCAAGTGCTTGGTGAAATGTCACAACCCCTCGCCATCAGCTGGTTGTGTTTTTCCCTCTTTGTGTGCGGCCAAATACAGAGAAAGTGTTGTGTGCAGTACTGCTGGACAAAAGACCAGCAAGATGTAATTAACTATCAAACAGTTACCTTGGCTAAAGCGTCCCGTCCGTAGCTGGCCTCCTGCATCGTGTGCTGCTTCTCAATGACGTCCCGGCCCGTGGCCACGGTACGGTAGAGCATGGCCTTCTCCACGTTTTCTTCTTTGGTGGACAGCAGGTCGCTAAACACAGCCACCAGCTTTGTGTTCTCTATCAAAGTCACATCTCCGTCCACCCCGAATGTCAGGTTGCCCTAGAAGAGAAGACACGATGCATGGATTATTCGGCAGTGCATAAGGTATAGTTCACCATTTTGGAAAACACAAATGTGCGTTCTTGCCAAGAGTTTGATGAAAAGATTGATACCAGTTTAATGTATTTTGAATGTATGTCACTAAATATGAGGCAGTGATTAGCTAAGCTTAGCATGTAGCCGGGAAACGGCATGACTGGCTGTAGCCATTTGTGAATATCCATAATAGCAAATGTGTAACTTTTACATTGTTGTCTGTGTACAAATGATGTCAGGCTAGGTGCTTCTGTTCCAGTTTAGAAAAGCATAAAGACACAGATACAAGAGGGGTATCCATCTTCTCAAGGCAAAACAAGAGAATAGGGACATTTCACAAAAAGGAAGGTTCCTGGAAAAGGATAACGATACAGTAACAGCGTAAATTCTTTAGATAGTTAAAATTGCAAATAAATAATAAAAACTAAAGTAAACAAGAGAGTATTTTATACAGTGAACACCTGTTTAGCTGCATTTTTTTTACTGCAGCCAAACATCAAATGAACAAATAATGACTGTTCACTTAGTTTTCTACATATCACTTATTCAATTGAATTCCTTTGAAAACTGTTTATAAACTCAAAATGACTAATAATACTCCAATAGTTTCCTTCTAGTTTCTCTATAGTCAGTACGAAATAATATAGCTGTATACCAGAAATAGCCTAGGAAATTATAGACCCTTATAGACTGTATATATATATCTTTTTTTTTTTTAATGAGCTGCTTTTGCATTGGAAATAGTACCCAGTGTCAAAAACAAACAAAAGAGTAAACAAATGTGTGCCATTTCAAATCCATACACTTACTATCCTGGCAAGCATACCGGCCCACTTTGCCAATATGGCTCTCACTTCTCTCAAATCTATACACAGTATCTCCCATATTGGGACTCAGCTGGCGTGAGACTTGAGTGGGGATTTTGATATTATCGGGTATTACCAGATGTAGGATGGTGGCCAGGATCTTGTAAACAGTCTGAATCTCATCCCCTGTGAAACCGATCACTTTCATGGCATCAGCCACAGCTTTGAAATCAGCGCCATCATTGATAGAAGACTAGAGAGAGAGAACAGGAAATGTTGGAGAAGGATTCAAACAAAATACTGAAAGTAAACAGTGTTAAAGTTGATTGGATTTATCATTGCAATGTCAAGTAAGATTTCAAATTAAGAACATTTTATCTTTTAAAAAATGTATCTTACTTAAACAAATATAAACATGGATCAAAGTGTTTTGTCCTGGAGCCAGTCTTTTCCTGTCCCTTTCAAACTAGCAGGGCGGTCATTTCCCCACAGTTAATGACATTAGAAACTGCTGCTCCACTGTGATGTTTGGCTATAAAACAGGAGCCACTGAGGCACACAGTGTATAAACCGCTACCTCAGCTGTTTGGTTGAGTTGTATTCCATTACGTCAGGCTGTTGTTGTGTTGCTGTCAAGTGGATTTGTTCCAACTCATTAACTCATGCAAAGACTGTGGCACGAAGCTGAGGTCTACATAAAAAAACACTCCTCTGTACAGTAACAGGGATGATGATTACTGCAATGCTCTCTTTACATGCAATACATGACTTTTGTACTGTTTAGTTTAATACAATCTGTAAACTGTGGTGAGGAAACACATCTGTGTGTAAGTGGTGTGTTTGATTGCATCCATATCACTGAAGACTAACTCACACTGACGGTCTCAGACTTTTGTTCTCTGGTTTTCATTCTTTGCTTTTTCTACTTTTGTTAGAATGTAAGTTAAACTTTAAGAAGTACCTTGATTTGGCCTCCAACTTTGATGTAGTTGTAGGCTGTCGCGTCCTTTTTGATGTGAATAGAACGTAACAGGGAATCTGGAGCACCTTTGAGCAGCTAGGGGGGGAACAAAACATACATTATTACTGACAACATACACACAGTCCCCTTTTTGAGTTTTTGAATCATTAAACGGCCATTATGCAAACTTCTACCAACTGTCATTTATGACATTTTAACTCATATATCATGTATTACAATTATTATAAATATGGCTTATTCATGTTCAATTCAATTTGAGCTCCTACATGTAGGTACAAAAGGCCCCTTGATGACTCAGAATTCTGCATGATTCATATTTCCTGGTTGTGAGTTCAGTCGTTTACATGATTAACAAACACATACTGTACAAATGCTCTTTACATATGTACCTGGTAGAATGAATGAAAGCTCCTCTCTCCTTCCTGTTGGAAAATGACCCTGGACTGTGGAAAAAGTGGAGCATTACATAACAGCCGTTTTAAAGCCACCCGGAGCATCAAACAAGCCAGTTATTCCCGTTTGTTGGGATTATGACACTTTAAATTAGAGCTATGTCTACTCCAATACCTTTTCCAGAAGGTAGTTGTTGATGTGGCCTCCGATGGGGTCTCCCTTGAAGTCGAAGTTGATGTCCATGTATTTGCCGAAGCGGCTGGAGTTGTCGTTGCGGCTGGTTTTGGCGTTCCCGAAGGCCTCCAAGACACAGTTGGATTTAAGCAGCATGTTTTTCACCCTGTGTGAAACAATAGAACAGGTTAAGATGTCGGCTGGGGTCAAATTAGCAAACCCACATGTTTCATTAAATTCTTTTACTTTAAACCTTCTTAGTACATTTAAGATAAGTTAATAGGAAACAGCTTGTTAACAATATCAACTTTATAAAATGATGATCCTTCCACATTCACATCTTATCGAAACCTATCCCTAAGCACATTTCAGGACACAATTACGAAAACCAAGACCATCATTTTGTCATGTACATTTACTCATTTCTTTTTAAATATTGCTGGAAAGCATAGGCAATAATGTGACTTAATTGAATAACTGCCACATGGTCACCTCCACTTTTTAAATGCATAATTGTGTTGCACTTTGTATGTTCCCTACTGTATGTTTGTTTATGGTATGTGTGGCCAGGGCCAAAGACACATTTCCATTTCATGTAATTGGTGGACAGTAAAGTGATGTAAGTGTGAATGATGTGCCATTGTTGTGTTAATAGCTTGTTCTGCTGCCCTCAAGTGGACAAAAAATAGAATAATGCAGGTTAAAAATATATCACCATGTACAGAGTTATTACAGAAAACCACATGTATAAATTCAGACAGATGTGTTGTGTCAGTGTTTGTATGTGATATTTGACCAGGTACAGCTGGAGTTTTTTTAATTTGTTTCCACTAGCAAACCATGGCAAAGCTTTCCCCTGAGACCCACTAATAACTGAGAGGGACGAGCAACAATCTTAGCTGATACCTAACTCACAAAGATAACGGACAATACACTGGGAGTAGTCAGTAGAAGTTAGAAAGACTGATTGATCTGCCTCCATGTACACAATGTAGGACTTGACCCTGTGCTACATTCTTGCAGGAGAATCAATTCATCATTTCAAACGAATATCTACAATCTGTCATTTTGTTAAAAACCTCTTTTCAAAAAGGCGTTTTTTTCTCAGAAATGTCTGGCTTTTTATTTACCAGGTTTCATAACTTGAAGGCTAATGATACCATTGAAACTATATTATCTAATCTAAAAACTCTCTTGAACCTAGATAACACTGTATTGCTTTTGTCCGAATAGCTGTAAAGTTTAGACTTAGCTGGTAAGAGTATAGAACATTTAATGGAGGTTTTTTATTGGTTAAAATATATTATACAGGGAAATGGATATTGCAGTACTGTTAAGAATAAAAACATACATAACATAACACATATTGCTCCTGTCACATAAAGACTGACTGGCCTGTGACCCAAATGATACCCAGATGACATAGGATTTATGAAAATATATTCGACACTATAATGACGCCTCTAACGTTAAATGTTTTTTAAAATATTTGTATTGGTTCAAATGTAACACCAGTCATTTGTATTTAAAGTTGACCTTTCAACCTTTTTCCTGCACAAATTGCACCTTTATTCCTGACCTTAACTTTGTGTGGGCTGTCAGTTATGGATCATATGGTTTAATAGCTGAGACTTTGATATGTGGCAGTAATCATTTGTGGAATATGACTTGCTTCTATCAACCATAACTGCAAGATAAGAAATGTGACCTAGAAAATAGATAATTAAGAATGAGATATGAAGCTCTTTCATATGTACGTACTAAAATAGACCTTTTGCTGCAGCTAGAAACTCTAATTTGAGGAAGAGGATTATTGCTGAACATTCTTTGGTGGATTTTGAGTTTTAAATGACTTTTTATTTGTTATTATCCAATGTATCGCGGCTTCTTTGATTTGTATGACTGTCTTTGTGGTTAACCATGCATAACAACTCCATTTTAAGAATTCAAAGAAAAACTCCTCCGTACCCACTCCCCATCCCATAATATTTAGTCACCAAACCAAGCCTGTGTACGGTCTTTTCAGTGCGAGTTAACCGGGTCAATAGCAGCAGCTCACCTTTCAACTTCAGCCCTCTGATTGGGATTGGTGATAGCAGCAATGTATTGCATTATGTACTTGCTGGCTTCTGTCTTTCCAGCTCCACTTTCCCCTGCAATGAAAACAATACAAAGTGCAGTGAGTCTTTAAAAGTATCCATTTTTATTTCAGTAGTCATTTTTAGGCAGTTTGCTTTATAAATGAATGAATAATGAACCTGAAAAGACCCATGCCCAGAGCCTGATTTTTTGTGTCATACTTTAAAAATGATACTGTGTTGCACAAACATGTTTCAGTATACAACATCACTTTGATTTCGAAGTGAGTTAATAGACCAAACTATATTTTTGTCTGGGTATGGATTCATGACACCATGGTTTTAAGATGCTCAGTTCCCCCTTCTGACCACTAAGTGGTGCTTCATCCTCTGCATGGCTTCTCCAGCATGTCACACAGCTTATATCCACATAAGAACATCTTTTGTATTCATTACTTTTATTAACTTAACAAAGCTCAGAGGTTATATTAATATGTTCAGGACATTTGCTCCAGAACATCCGTCAGGACAGATAACACCGGAGTATAAGAGGAAATAAAGGAGGATTACAGTGTTCTCAGAAGAAATGTGTTCCTTGTCGTTTGTTGTGAAATGTAGAGAGAGTAAAACATCTTTGTTCTCTTGGAGTGACCCATGCAGGGGGGCTTTCTGTGTTACCTGAGATGACAATACAAGTGTCTTTGTTCCTCCTCTTCATGGCCTTGTAAGCAGCGTCAGCGATGGCGAACAGGTGGGGGGGCCTCTCGTACAGCTCGCGGCCCTTATACTGCTCCACCATGTCGCGGCCGTAGATGTTCATGGCACGGTAAGGGTTGACGGACACCACCACCTCCCCGATGTAGGTGTAGATCCTCCCCTTCTCAAACCTGAGGGAACACAGCGTGGCTTTTTAGTCGTTTTATCAAATGTTCAATATCCTTCTACTTGTCCCTATCTTGTGTTTGTGTTCAAGCAGGCGAATTTACTCATTGAGTTTTCTGTCTTCATTTATAAGCATTCATATTTTGGGATGAATTTATAATCAAACTCTGCCAGAGAAGGAAATACTTTTTTTATTTACAAAACTACTGCTTTAAAACGTTTAGCATCAGTCAATACTTTTGTAGAATCCAGCATCAAGCAATAACCAGAAACTATTTGAAAAAAGGAAATTCTAATTAAAAATGTCAATGCATTAATTAAAAATCATTCCGATACAAAGCAACATCACACTGACTGGGAAGGCCTGTCACTTAAACTCACACAATGACAATCATTATGCAGCAACTTCCTAAAAGGAAAAAAAGGAATTGAATCAAAAGTGAAATTGTATTTCAATAACTGTATAACCAGCTTAACATTTGCCACTTTAAATAAATGTATCCGACATTTACATTGGTAAACTGTAAGTAAGCCATATATATTGTGAGTTGATGTTTTCAATCTGTCCAACGGCACAATTTTGCATGTTACAATCTTTCAGTTTGCATGTTACAATCTTTCAGTTTGCATGTTACAATCTTTCAGTTTGCATGTTACTAGCTCAAAGCCTTTTTCAAAACCTCTATCACTGTCAATAAGGGAGTCAATATATCTGACACCGATGCTGTATTGAGGGACAAGATCAACTCTCTGCTCCTGAACTCTTCCTCCTTCAATTGTGTTAGTGCTGCAACATACAATGAGATCTAAACAATAGTGAGCTTCCAACTTTATGTCAACAGTATGAGTTTGTTGTCCCTTTCCGGTTTCAAATGACAATGTCCTCCATGCACAAAGCCAGTTCTATAAAGACATGGGTTTCCTGTTTGGTCAGGAAGAACTTGACTGGCCCGAAAAGTTTGGACTTCAACCCAATCCAACATTGCTAAGATGCATTTTAAACTGTGAGCAAAACCTGATGACCAAACAGCAGTGTTGGACCTGATGATGACTGAATGGAGGATAAACCCTGCAGCCAGGTTCCAATATATTGTGCAAAGACTGTAACCAGAGGAGTGTCGTTTATTACAGCAGCAGATGAATGCCTATTGTTAAGGATGGTATAACAAATGACCCCTGCCTGCATGTGTGCAGAATGCAGGTTGGTTTGTGTGACGAGTACTATATAAATAAACTTCCATAGTCATAACAACTATTTATATGGTCGTATTTTTCTGAAATGGACATATTTTTCAAAGGTACAGAGTAGCTCCATCTCACTTTCTGTGCCCATCTCTCTCTAAATCACACAATCTTTTGATCTCTGTCTCTCTCCCCCAGCCTCAGGCCCGCCTGCCTGCCTGACTTCCTTCCTCTCCAAAGAGAACTAGGAGCCCAGTTCCTCTCAACAGAAGAATGGCCTCTTTCTTCACAGCTGCCAAACCTCTGCCGCTGCCTTGCAAACAGAGCCAAACGCAGATTATTCCAAAACGGTCCTAACAGGCCCACGTAAAGTGTTTGTGGGTTTGAAGCGATTGCCAGATTAAAAATCAATCAAGCACTCATATTTGCTAAAACGACTTGCCAGATATTGAGTTATCATATATTTGAATTAAATTGCTCAGTCACTGGTAGAATTACAAATCAAGCGCTGAATGATGAACATTATTACTCCAACTGGCTGTTGATGGATGTCCATAACATTCTTCTTGTTTATCAGTGTTTCTAAACCTTGCATTTTTCAATCATTTTTTATAAATCATATCCGCACTGAACTTTTAAAAAGGTATGTTAATAGTGCATTTTAGTGGGAACAAAAAAACAGTAACCAATTGTTGAGCATGGCAACGTCAAATACATTAGTGCTCAATATTATCATCAAATTTGAAGTGAAATACTGAGCAACGCTATAGGGTGGGATAACACGACTCATGTTGCAGCTCGGTACAACAATGCTCTACCACAACTGTACACACACTACACATGCTGGATTAGCTCATCCTTATGTGTTCATACTGCATGTCAGTAATCTTACTGTATGTCAGGCCATGCACAAAATGGCACGGCTGGCTGACAATGACCTAGCATAGGTCCTGGTCAGGATGGGACGATATGAAGACGGTAGAATAAAGATGCAGAATAAGAGGCTTTTGTGTAAATAATGCCACTTTCTGTTATCGACAGAGAAATAATAATATTCAACAGTCAATTTCCAAGCAAAAGAAACTGAAAATGCCGTTCTACTGATTTACTCCGTTTTATATCATATTACCATCCTAAAAAGCTTTGGGTTAAGGACTGACTAAAAAATACATTCACTTGGATTTTGACGTACTGGGATGGACAGTTCTTACTTTTCTCTGAAAATATTTGTCGGATTAATTGATAATGAAAATATAAAAGCTAAGCTAACTAGATGGCTCTTCGGATCCTGATGCCACAGAAAAAGCCATTGTGCCCGCCCCCCCAGTCAGGAGGCTGCTGTGTGCCCGCTCCATTGTTATAATGTCAATCGGAGGTCTTTGTCTCAGACGTCTCCCCCTGCATGGGCCAACACGGAGAGCTGCCCACTCAACGTACAATAGCTGCTGGGGGATCTTCAACAATGGTTGAGATGAAGGGAGGGGGGTGTATGTGGAGTCCCAGCTGCGTACTGTATGTATAGAAAGAAGGTGATGGCGTATGCTGTCCAAAATGAAAACATCTGGAGGTATTTTTCATCTTGGGAATTGATATGGTTCCAAACCAGACGAAAGGAAAGCTCATAAACATCTAATAATATTGTTTAAATGCAAGATATTAAAATACTCCACTCGTGTTTAGCGATAAAAGGAGACGTAAACATTCCGCCATACTGTTAATACCAAATATGTGATTGTATTTCACCATTGTGGGATTTGATTGAGATGTGTCACCCATCTGTATATCCGGATCTTTATTGATGAATAATGATGAGTGACATTGGTTGAACTCTTCTTATCTGTACGTTACCGGTATAAAATGTCTAACAACGTTAATATACCATTATAAAGCAAACCAGTCTCAAGGGAGTATTGTTGCCCTTGTACATAATCTGTGTGTATAAAATATGTTTATTTATGCTAAGGCTTGCATTTTATGTCAAACTCTGCAGCCCCATGAGTTCAAAAAGTTAAGTAAACATTTGAATTCATGCAAGCTGATTTAATAAACACCCCTGAACAAGGTGACAGGTAGAGACTCATTTCTATCAAAGGAATGGCTTTCACTTTCACAAATGTGCAAAAACTATCACTTCTTTGAAGTTAGGCAATGTTGCTAAATTGTTTCAAAAAGGACAAGAAGTTCAGGCACATTACATCATTCAAATACACGTCAAGGGTTTTTTGAACAAATATTATCATTGGGAGTGTCAGTCTGGTATTGTAATTTTCATTTTTTCCACCCAATAACAAAACATTACACACTAGACAAACAAACCGCATCAGACTATACCACAAAGTGTGGATTCTCTGTGAAGCTGCACAGCTTAGAAAAACACAGGCAGACATTAAATCATCAAATCACTGACAATCTAGATCTAGAGGTGAGATCTAAAGGAGTTTTACCCCCACCTCTAAATTTACAATCGCATCATTTTTGTGAATAAAATGGTTCCACGTCGAGGAGAAAAGAGAAAAATCAATCAGTTTGTGCGTGTCAACTGAGATTGAGCGTTGGCTGATCCATCTGCTCCACTCTCATTTAGCGGATTTAATAGACGCAGGATTAGAGGACTGTATGGGTCATAGTAGTCCCCTAGAAACACTATTCATAGTTGCATTGACACTGAATCAGATTGCAATGTAGTAACACTTTTGGTTCTTTTTTGACCTTCAGAATAAATTGGGCAATTTGAAGCTTCATGTTAGATTAAGATTGAGATGTTTGAAAGTACATAAAACCAGAGTGAAGGTTTACCAGTCCATTAATCCTTTGAGGAATCACAGCACAACTCTTGCTTCATCACCCCCCCTTCATCTGACCGGCATTCCTGTGATCTATTTCCGAAAGGACCCATCCCAAAAGATGCCAGGAAATGAGACAGAGAGAAACAGAAAGAGGAGGTAGGCATGTAGAGAAAAGGGGATAGAAAGATCATACGTGCAAGAAACATCAGATATTGTGAGACCTGTGATGATTTATGTATAGTCTGACTCCCACTGAGGGACCTGCTGGTGTGACATGATCATGAGACTATTTATGTGCAGCTTGTTAGTTTCTGAATCTGCACTTGGCATACTACAACAGAAACAAAGCTTGTTCGTTGTTTGAGGTTTAAGACAGTCTGCTGGAATTTCCCAAAAACGAACCCATTCATGTTTTCCATATCTTCTGTCTCTGAAAACAAAACAGAAAATCCTACACATTGTTGATCATTCATACTCAGTTTATTTGTTGTTAAACTGAGGATTGAATTTGATTGTTTGTAATCTTTTAATGACTCAAGTCTATGCTCAGAGCTGTCTATATGTAAGCCTTTAGAAACTGAACAAAGTTTGCACTTTTATATTTTGCAATAGTTAAAAAGCCAACATAAGAGCATGTGTGCTCATAAAATACATCAGGTCAACCAGCTAATGTCAGCATACTTGCTCATGGGAGATTTGAGCATGACAGACAACTAGCCTGTTTATCTGGTCCTGGTGAAACTCTGTCTGACCAATAGGAACTAGTTGCAGTGTATCGAAATGAAGCTGCTAATGGAGTCTGGGGAGCTGTGTCCATGTTTGGAAATAACGCTTTTAAGTATTATACTCTAAGATTTGTTTGTTTTTTCTTGATACTCTTGAGTTGTTTATATTCCTAAAAGTTGTCAGTACTGTTATTATCTCTACCAACCTCTGACTGTGCAAACATGTTCAAAAGTGACTCCAAAGACTTGCCATACACAAAAACACAGTGGAAAAATGTTTTACTAAAAGGAACTTTTTCTGCCCCAAAAATA